TACAAAGTGAGTTCCAGGACAGTCAGAGCCTGTTACACAGAGAAACCCTATCTTGAAAAACAAAATCAAAACAAAACAAAATGTTGGGCTGGAAAGATAACTCAGGGGTTAAGAGCATTGGCTGCTCTTCCAGAGGACCCGGGTTCAATTCCCAGCACCCACATGGCAGCTCACAACTGTCTGTGACTCCAGTTCCAGGGGATCTGACATTCTCATACAGACATACATGCAGACAAAAACAAAAAACAAAAAAACAAAAAAAAAATTAATGTACATGAAATTTTTAAAAAATTCTTTAAAATTAGTGTGTGTGTGTGTGTGTGTGTGTGTGTGTGTGCGCCTCAGTGTGATGTGGACATCAGAGGACAACTCTGTCCAGTCAGCTCTCTCCTTCCACCATTGTGTGGTTTCCAGGAACTGCACTCAGGTTGCCAGGCTTCGGCAGCTGGCACCTTTACCAGTGAGCCATCCTTCCCACCTGGCTTCATAGCCCCCCTATTTTTTTGTGGTTCTGAAGACTGAACCTACGGCCTCACATGTGCTAGGCAGTACTCTGTCACTCATCGGATCCCCAGAACTTCTTTTGAGACAGGGTCTTACTAAAGTATGCAGTCTGACTTTGAACTCACTGTACTATTGTTGGTCGTTTTGCTCTTTTGGGGGCCTCGGCCACCCAGCTCCCACATAAATCACACATGGAGGCTTATTATTACTTATGGACGTCCGGCCTTAGCTTGGCTTGTTTCTTGCCAGCTTTTCTTAACTTTAAATTATCCCATCTACCTGTGTATCTTACTTTCACTCTTACTCCATGGCTTGCTCTTTAGCTGGGTGGCCAGTCCCTGGAGTCCTCCTCCTTCTCTGGCTTCTTCCTTCTCCTAGATTTCTCCTTCTATTAATTCTTTCTGCCTGCCAGCCCCGCCTGTCCTTTCTCCTGCCTTGCTATTGGCCGTTCAGCTCTTTATTAGACCATCAGGTGTTTTAGACAGGAACAGTAACCCAGCTTCACATTGTTAAACAAACGCAACATTAAACAGAAGTAATACACCTTAAAATAATATTCTACAACACTATACTGAAATAAGTCTTCAACTATTTTTACTTTTTTGAGATAGAGTTTTATTATATAGCCTGGCTGGCCTAGAACTCACTGTGTAGACCAAGCTGGCTTTGAACTCAGAGATCTGCCTGCCTCTGCTGCCTCCTTTAGTGATAAAGGCATGAATACTACCACACCTGGTTCAGATCTTCAACTTTTGATTCTCCTAATTTACCCTTTAGTTGTAAGGATTATAGACCTACATCAGGCCTACCTCATAGTCTGCAGTTTAGTTTTTTTGTTTGTTTGTTTTTCTAGATAAGTTTTCTCTGTGTCACCCTGGCTGTCCTAGAACTCTGTAGACCAGGCTGATGCTGAACTCAAGAGATCTCTGCCTCCAGAGTTCTGGGATTAAAGGCCTGTGCAGCCATAGCCCGGCTTGTCTGGTTTTGAGAGTTTCTTTTTGCCCAGACTGGCTTCACATTTCTCTGTGCTGAGAATGTTCTTGAGCTCCTGGTCCTCCAGGTGCTGGGATTATAGACACACTCTACTGTGCTTGGCTACATTTTAAATTACTGCATCATTATACTGGATACTTCGAGGAAGCTCAAGCAGAAGTAGATCTTGATTCATAAAGTAGTTTCTTGTGTGGGATGTGGTGACACCCTTCGGTATATCCCCCAGTACCAGGAACGCTGAGACAGGAGGATCACAAGTTCAAGGCCAGTTTGGGTTACATAGTGAGAATTTAGCTAAACAAAACCAAATGTCACTGACTTATTCCAAGTACCTCAAGCTCCTTATCTCCCGTCGGGTCTGTGAGGCCTCTTTTCAATTACAAGAATCATGAGATCTCAATATAGAGATTTCTGTATAGGAACTGTTTAAGCCCAGCTTTGTGTGTGAAAATTTAAATCTAGGACCCATGAAGTGAGATCATTTGAGTTAGTTGTTTTCTATTTTGGTGCAGGATTCCTTGGAGTATGGGATACCCAAATGCCTACGTCCACCCTGTTACTGTTTGGTTTGGTTTTTTAGATAAGAGTCTCATGTAGTCAGGCTGGCCTGGAATTCACTGTGCTGCAGAGGATGGCCTTGAACTCCTGATCAATATGCCTCCACCTCATGGTTCTTTCATGAAGTTCTACTTACTTGCTTTTATTGAGAGAAATCAGAGAAGAGAGAGAGAGAGAGAGAAAGAGAGAGAGAGAGAGAGAGAGAGAGAGAGAGAGAGAGAGAGAGAGGAGAGAGCACACAAACATGGGTGTGGGTGAATGTGTGCTCACAGCAAGGGTGCATGTATGTGTGTGTGCACATGTGTGTGTGTTGTTGAACCTAGGGCTTCTTGTATGTGTGTATGCCAGGCAAGTGCTAAACTACTGAGCTACAGACTCAGCCCAGAGAAATGTTTTGTTTTTTGAAGATACTGTTATTAAACGCGGGGCTTTGTTCCTGCTAGGTGCATGCATGTGCTAAGCAGATATCTTAGCAGCTGAGCCATCTCCCTGCCCTGACTTTAATAAAGATAGTTAAATTTATTTCTTAGGTGTGCAGAAATGTATTTGTTATGTGTGTGCGCCACAGTTCAGGGGTGAAGACAACTGTGGGCGTCACTGTCCCTCCTCCATGTGGGTCCCTAAGGCCGAAGGGAACTCAGGTCCTCAAGTCGGCAGCAGGCACCTCACCGCCGTGCGGTCTTGCAGGCTTCCTTCACCTTTTTGAAAAGAAAGACATTTTTAATTTGGGTTTTTTTGGGGGGATGGGGGTAGGGAGAAGGGATTGTTTTTTGAGACAAGGTCTTGGCTGGCCGGGAACTTACTATGTAGATCAGGCTGGCCTTGAACTCACAGAGCTCCCTCTGTTGATGTCTCCTGAGTGTTGGGTTTGCCAACCCACCTAGCTTGGCTTTTTCTTTTCGTTTTCTTTCTTTCTTTTTTTTTTTTTAATACAATTTTTTCCCTGTTTTAAAATTTATTTATTTATTATGTGTACAGCATGTATGACTGCAGGCCAGAAGAGGGCACCAGATCTCATTACAGATGGTTGTGAGCCACCATGTGGGTGCTGGGAATTGAACTCAGGACCTCTGGAAGAGCAGTCAGTGCTCTTAACTGCTGAGCAGTCTCTCCAGGCCCCTTTTTCTTTTTTTTTAAAACAGGGTCTCATGCAGCCTTGACTAGCCTGGAACTTACTATGTAGCAGAAGCTAGCCTTGAACCCCTGATCCCCCTGCCTCCATCTCTGGATTACTGTCTTAACAAGTACGCCCCCCCCACTAGTCCATGGCCCAAGAAATGTTTTAAAAGTTTATTCTTTGTGAGGGATTGCTTCCACGGGTATCCCCCAATTTGGCCTTTATACTGTTTGTTTAAAGAGGGATTCACTGTGCAGCCTTAGCTGGCCTGGTCCTTGCTATGTAGCCTAGGCTGGCCTGGAATCTGTGGGTCCTCTTGCCTCTGCCTTAAGAATGCGGGGGGTTGCAGGTGTGGACCATGAGCTGTGCGTGGCCTTTAAAAACAGTAGCTGCACAGTGCTGGCGCACGCTTTTAGTCCCAGCACTCAGGAGGCAGAGGCAGGCGGATCTCTGTGAGTTTGAGGCCAGCCTGGTCTACAGAGCGAGTTCCAGGACAGCCAGAGCTGTTACACAGAGAAACCCTTGGAAAAGGAAAAAAAAAAAAAAGTAATGACAGCTGAGTTTGAGTGTCCTAAGAGACCAGGGACCAATTCCAAAGCAGTTCAAGTCCACAGCTAGGTCCCCCATCTGCTGGACATGATGACATCCTCCCTCCCACAGCGGTAGGGGCGGTAGGCTCTGAGTTGGAGGCTAAGGGTCGCTTAGAATGACTGTCCCGGTTGACTCAGCTTGCTGTCGCTCTCCCTCCGGGGGCCGATGTCTAACTCCGCAATCTGGGGGAATTTGACAGCCTGGGAGTCTCGTTTCTTGGGAAAATTATGGGGCCCTCTGGGGACGACACGGACAGGGCTGGGAATTTCAGATGGATGCCTTTGACAACACAGAAAAGGTGGCCGCTCGGGCCGGGCTACAAGCCGGGCTCCCGCTTCCTTTTTCTTCCGCAGGTCTAGAAGTCAGAGGAAATGCCGGTGAGTTTCGGGGTTCGGGGTCGGCGGGGCGGAGGACGGGGCCAGGGCGCGCAGGGAACACCCGGCGGGCGAGTCCCAGCGCTGCGCCGCCGGCTCCCCTTCGGCGGGCTTCCACCCGGGGGCCGTAACCGCTCGGTTTCCACGTCTAAAGATAACCTCGTTGCACACAGGCGTTAACAGCGGCGGCATCACTTTCCCCGGGGCCCGCGCCCGACCCAGTTTGTCCCCCGCGGCGTCCCGTCACCCCGCGTCGGCCGCGCGGCCGCGTCACACGCCTCCGCGGGAGCGGCTTGCACCTGGCTCCTCCTGATTGGCTGAGCCCCGCCCCGCGTCCCAGGCCCCTGCTGATTGGCAGCGAGGACTGCCAATCCGCCGAGCCCCGCCCGCCCCCGTCCCCCCAGGCCCCTGCCGATTGGCAGCGAGGACTGCCAATCTGCCGAGCCCCGCCCGGCCCCGCCGACCCCCTGCTGATTGGCAGCGAGGACTGCCAATCCGCCGCCCGCCTCGGTTGAGCTGGAGGCGCGGGGGCGGCGGCGTGGGGGCGGAAGTGGGGTTTCCCGCGGAGCCGACGGCGCCGTCTCTCCTCCCCCTCCCTCCCCTACTCGTTTGAATTCCACGCGCTCCAAAATACCCGCCATGGAGAAATCTTGGTAATGACCCGCTCCCCGCGAGCAGCGTCCCAGGAGCGCGGCTGACCTCCGCCCTCCCCCGTCCCCGTCCCGTCCCGTCCCGTCCCCGCCGCTGGGGGAGGATCCTGGGTAGCCAGCGTCTCGGGCTCGCCCGGAGGACTCTGGGTAGCCGCCCGTTCTCCCTGGCTCCCCCTCCCCACCGCACCCCCCCCCCCCCCCGCCCCGTTTGCGGGTAGCCGGCCGGCCGTGCTCCCCACCCCGCTGGAGGGCGCTGGGAAGCCGACGACGTGCCCTGCTCCCTCGGCTGCCCGACCCCTGCCCTCTCCCCAGCCCGATCTAGGAAAGCAGGCGTCCGCCTAGGCCGCCCTGCCCGACTCCAGCCCCTGCCATGCCCGCTCCCCGCACCTCTCGGTGCATGAGGAAAGGGAAGTCGAGACGCAGGCCGTGTGGTGGGGTGGTAGGGGACCGGGAGCGTTCGCGGGTGCCGCGGGTAGCACGCAGTTCTCCCGCTCCGCAGCTCCGAAGACTCCTCCAGGGCGCAGCCTGCCCCTGACGGCGCCGCCTCTTTGCCTTGCAGGCCCTTCTAGGCAACCCCCCCCCCCCCGGGGCTGTCCTGGTGGCCAGGCCCGGTGTGACTCGGGTCTGACCCTCGGCCGCCCGCCACCGTCATGAACTTTGAGGGTCTGGATCCTGGACTGGCCGAGTTTTCCCCAGCCATGCACTCGACCCTGGACCCGGTCCTGGATGCCCACCTGAACCCAAATCTGCTGCAGAATGTGGAGCTGGACCCAGAGGGGGTGGCCTTGGAGGCCCTCCCCGTCCAGGAGTCAGTGCACATAATGGAAGGTGTCTACTCGGAGTTGCACAGCGTGGTGGCCGAAGTGGGAGTGCCCGTGTCCGTCTCCCACTTTGACCTACATGAGGAGATGCTGTGGGTGGGGAGCCATGGGGTAAGAACTGGACCCCTTCCTGAAGGCCTGTGCCCAGGGACAGCTCTTGGCAGGGAGTCAAAACTGAGGCGAAGGGATGAGAGTTCGCTGGATCTCTTAAAACAAGAGGAAGGGAGTGGAGAAAGAGTTGGGGAAGCCAGGCTCCAGACATTAATTACATATTTGGTCTCATAAGGCATCATCCCACTTTGCCAGTTTACCCATCTCTCTATCTAGTCCGGGCTGACCGGAACTCAGCAATTCTCCTGCGTCAGCCTCCCAAGTGCTGAGTTTATGTGTGTGCCACTGTATCTTCTTGTTTATTGTTTTTTAAAGACAGGGTCTCCTGTATCCCAATCTGACCTTGAATTTTATGTGTAACCAAGGATGACCTTGAATTTCTGATCCTCCTGCCTCTGTCTCCTGATAGAGTACTGGGGTTCCTGTGGTACTGGGCATAAAACCTGGTGCTTCATGTGCAGTCGGCTGGCATTCTACCCACTGAGCTACATGCCCAATCCTGTTTTTGTTTTCAAGACAGGGTTTTGCTGTGTATCCTAGGCTGGCCTTAATTTCTAATCCTACCTTCATTTCCAGCTGCCTTGATAACCCCCCCCCCCCAAAAAAAAAAAGAAGAGACTTGAAATGGGATTCAAGGTAGGCACGTTGCCTGTAATCTCAACACTTGAGAAACCAAGGCAGAGTGCTGTAAGGCCCGGGCCAGCTAGTGCTGTGTGGCAAGAACCTATCTCAAAGTAAAAAAGGCTGGGGATGTATCTTAGCCGAGTACTTGCCTAGCATATGTGAGCCCTTAGGTTTGATTCCTAGTATTGAATAAAACAAAACTCAAGCACAAATGTAATTAGAGCAAATGAGATTACCTAGGGAGACAAAGCAAGAACACGATAGACATGTCACATAATCCAAAGGGGAGGCAGAGGCAGGACACCCAGGGCTGCATAGGAGACCCGGTCTGTAACAATAGCAGCAAAGAGGAGGCCCACATACAGAGTCAGAAAATGGAGTCAGAGAAATCAATAGTGAGTGATGTGACAGAGAGAGCGGAGGTGTGTTTCACATTCTTTGTGTTCTGGCCTATGACTCTGACTCAGTATGGATTTCTCATATGCTGTAGAGATCAAACTTTAACCAAACTAGGACTCTAGAAGCAGGAGGGTCTCTGAGTTTGAGGCCAGCTTGCTCTGTATAGCAAATTCCAGAACAGCCAAGGCTACAGAGAGACCCTGTCTCAAAGCAACAACAAAAAGATTTAGCCATGAAGCCAGTTCTAACCTCAGCGCTCCGAAGACTTAGGCAGGGGGTGAGTGTGACTCTGAGGGCGTCCTGGTCCACACAGCAAGTGCCAAGCCACCCTGTGCTGTACGAGACCCTGTAGGGTTTTTTTTTTTTTTGTTTTTGAGACAGAGTTTCCCTATGTAGTTTTGGTGCCTTTCCTGGATCTTACTCTGTAGACCAGGCTGGCCTCAAACTCACAGAGATCCACCTGCCTCTGCTTCCCGAGTGCTGAGATTAAAGGTGTGTGCCATCATTGCCTAGGGACCATTTTTTTTTTTTTAAAGCAAAAACAAAAACAAAAAAACCCCTAAGACTTGACTGTGGAACAAGTGACCAGTGGAGGATCAGCTCATGTCACTAGCCTTCTGAAGAAACAAATCTCTAATTACCTGAATTACCCATGCATCAAGGTCATTGTGAGAATAAAATGAGGGTTTATCTAAGTATTTTGTGGGCTGGAGGAACGGCTCCGGTTGGTAAGACCATTTGTCCTCTTCCAGAGGATCTGGGTTCAAGTCCCAGCACCCACATGGCAGCTCACAATT